CAAAACGTAAACTTAGAACCTCGGAAAGGGCATCCGCCTAAAGGAAGCAATGTTTAATAAAACACGATGGATTTTCTGTAATATGTTAAACATACTAATTTACGTAATTTAATATTCTCCACTTGCCCACATTTGACTAATCGGAAGCCCAATTGGTTTTTAATTAAACGCCATTATCAATGCTTACCGAACTTTCAGTATTTTTTATATGCGATCAGTCAGTCACCAACGCTGATGTTTTCTACACAGAGCGTCGTTTTTCTCCGGTCGGTAGTTCGCAAGTGCCTCTTCAGCGTTATTAATTTCGAGGCCATCAGATGCACTGTTTTTCTCACCATTTCGTCATAACAATTGACAGTTCTGCAGGTGATATCCTCATTCAGGTGTCACGCCAAGATCTACTCAATGCGTTGAAAAGATCAACCGTAATTCGAAGGGTCACTCATCTCAATAAGAAAATTCAGAGCATGCATTAAAATTTCCTGGTAACCGTGAGTTTACTATTAAGGCGAGCAGACCCATCTATCACAAGTACATGTTTGTGAGCTTGTGTTTTCGAATTTCAACTTGGCCTCAAAGAAACCAATTGTGGATCAATGAATGGGATGTAAATTTGTGAAACACTAACTATGTACAGTTACAATTTGCATAGTACGTTAGTTTCCACTTAGTATATACGTAAAAAGCGCCGAACAATGCATAGCACTATTTTTCGCCAAATTTGTTGAAATGCTTTCAGGTTTTCTTGGCGGCGAAATTTAAACATGACTTCACTGATAAGCAGAGTATCAATTATACTTCCCGTCACAAAAAGTTGCATCCTTACATATAATCGCACATTCTTTCCTTCTCTTCAACTGCTGTTTCCTTGTTATGAAGCACTGCTGGCCTTCACACAGGCAAATTTTTGGGTTGAGACTGAAACGACTTAAAAATTTGCACACACGACTTTGATTTCACAAGAACTGGCTACATAGTATGACCAACGACCTTTAATCAACATTTGCCTGCATTGCTAAAATATCTGAAAATTTAAAAACATTCTTTCCAGGATGTAGCGCGGCCCTCGCGGGACCCCTGTCGAGGTTTCATCGCCTGTTTGGACGAAAATACTGATTTGACGAAATAGGGGCCTTATCAACGCCTGCTACGCAGAAACAAAACGATGACAACAAGAAAGTGGAGAATTCCTATGTATGAGGCCGCAGAACTTAATAAATGAGGTGACATGAGTTGGAGCCAGATGGCCTATTTTGAGCAATTGAAAAACGTAAAAGCCCAGAGTGATTAGATTGGAAAAATTTCCAGATGTAAGGAGCTCACTACTTTATTTTGATCACTTCTACCGCGTTTGAAATGGAATACAATTTATGCTTAAATCTATCGGAAAAGCGCGTTCTTGGGAATTTTGAGATTTAGCGTTAAATAGTGACCAAAATTACAATATCATGATCACAGACAACGGTGAACAATCCTTTAACTATAAGATAGTAAAGTAAAATCAGAATAATGTAAATAAAAACTCAGATGGGTCTATTTACAGAGATGCACCACAAGAACTTTGTACAAAACCACTTTCCTTTTTGGCTAAGTTATTACTGTGTATCAGCGGGTGTCAAATAAGGGTGAGGAGAGTCGTATTCAGTAAGAATTTCGGAGGTCCCATCGTCAGGGAAGATGGCTTGATAAGAATTTCGAGCAAGACATTCTCCCTCTTCTGAAACTGTAGCAGCCTTTCCCCTCTTCCAAATAGCAATAATGTACTTAAGTGTTGAAATATTTTGCATGAACAGCTCATCGTTGGAGGCTTCTGCCACAGCTCTAATCTCTTGAAGAGTAGCATTTAGTTGCTCCGCCCGATCGATCAAAGGTTTCTCGTCGTTCGTAAAAGTTACTTGGTTAACATCCGCCATTCTTTTCAACCGACTACGCATATTCTTCAAGTCAGTTTTCGTGCAAACCTTCCCAAATTGTTCTAGAATCATAGCGGCCAATTCACAAAACCCTACTTTTGATTATATCCAGAACAGAACTGTTGTCGTAAGGTAGGCGAAGCAACTCATTTACTGCATCCTGTTCATGTTTATCCAAGCGACGATTGCGAGGATAGAGTCGAGATGACTCAAATGTAACAGGGTGATTATGATGCATATCATAGTTGACGATGCGCAGACGACTATTCGAATAACTGATACAAATATGCGAGCTACACCCTAGTTTGGAAGTTCTGTCGTCGAGAAGGCTACATAGACACACTCAGAGAAAAGAATTACCTTTGGTTTTTCCGCTTTGTTGCGGAGCTCACGCGACTACCATAGTGATAGCAAACATACTTTATGTTGCTATAGACCATCGAGTCTCTCTGTGGGTGGCCTTCGGGAAAGCGCTTTGAATTTAATTTCACATAAAGAGCCCCCGTTGCCTGCAAAAGTTAACAAATCGAAAAACGAACTTACATTCTCAAATTGCTGCAGTTTGTCATTTAGATCTGCCAACGATGAAAATTCTGAGGAATTAAAGAAGTGGAGGAAAACGCTGGTTAGATCAAATCCCGATAGACCATCTAGAAATGGTTAGAGAGGGATGGCAATTACAGTTGTCAAGTTGGTCACTATCTTGAACGCCTTCAAGCAGATTTTCTACTTTGGGCTTTATTATTTGACTTGGTTGATGAAGCATATCATAAGAAGTTATTTTAAGTCGGTTTTCTGATACAGAGAGTTCCATATAAGATGAGCAATTATCTTCAGAAACCCTGCAACTACGGTTAATTTGCACACAACGTACTTAAACTCTTTACCATTCACAGTGGATTTGTGGTGCGAACAATCAAGGCGAATATACTCGTAAGCTAAAGTAAGTGCCAGCTCTGACCCCTCCGGTAAGCTTCTAATTTTTTTCACGGTATAAACAACGCCTGTGCTCTACAAGATTTAGTACGACTGTACTGCACAAACCTGCTGGAACTTTACTAAATGGCTGACAAATATATCAAAACTCTCGTAGCATAATGGAAAAAACACTCGGAAGAACTCATCTTCAAGATTCATTGCAATGAAATTATACACACCTTGCCACATAAAGAACCAATAAGCTACAAGGTCAGGGATTAAATGCATCAAACGAATATATAATAATCAATTTACAAATCTGCTCACGACATTCAAATGTAAGGGTGCTTTCAAAAAAATTAGCGAAATTAACTATTTTAAAATCAAGCCTAATCATTTCTAATAATGTCTACTGAGATTAGTCAACCTCGTGAAAAAAAGAAAGTATCAAATCCTATCTGCCATAAATGCAGAAAGACAGAGGTCATAACTAGAAAGTCATTGTAAGAGATATCAGTGCATAAAGTAAATTAATTTATTAGGACCCACCTACCGAGTAATCAAATGTGGGCAAGTGGAGAATATTAAATTACGTAAATTGGTATGTTTAACATAGTACAGAAAATCCATCGTGTTTTATTAAACATTGCTTCCTTTAGGCGGATGCCCTTTCCGAGGTTCTAAGTTTACGTTTTGTTGCTGATTTCAAATAGCAAATATGCAGACTTGTGCGCCGAGTGTACACTCGGTACAACTGCTGCTAAAATCACATAATTTCCTAGCGTTTTGGATGTAATTTGCCAGGCACCCGTCGAATTCACAGAGATTTCCAATTTTGTAACTACAAAGACTTGTTATTAGACCGATTCACGATATACCAGTGACCTGCTCCCATATGAAACATCGGATTTTGCGGTTATTGAAGTGCTTCAGCCACGTCACTCATGTCATCAATATCGTAACGCCTCCCCACATTCTGTCCAGTTGAGGGAGGTTTACTTGTCAGCAATGTCAACTGAGACAACGTAGTACGTCCTCAAATAAATGTTATTATTGTAAACTACTGCGAATATACATTTCTAGAAGTGAAGAGGTTGGGTAAAAGATTTGTAACTCACCTCCACAATATCCCGTAACTGGTTATTTGAACACTTCAGCGACACCATTTTTGGTGGCATTCGTTGACTTCTGCAGCATCCCATCGATTTCAATGCGCCGGGACACAATAAGAGCGTCGACGTTAAACAATATTTTCTACCGCCTGATCCTGTGTGCTGGTTGACCATCACCATTAAGTGGGGAAATCTTACCAGCAAGTCGCTAAACAGTCATTAAAGCCCAAATAGACCTGTCACATATTAGTTTTAATAGATGTTTAATGGGACTGCTAAGGGTCTGCAGGCTAGTAGTATTGCAGTTATGTTTTTATACCAACTAAATGCGTAATCACAAAGCTAGAAGCCCAAAAGTGCAATTCCATGTTGCGCTTTTGGCTGACATAAGTTGCAGATTTGAATGCTGATAAGGACCTACTTCGCAGATGACTGCTGCCGCAAGTAACCGCTTTGTTTTATGTCGATGTTTAAACTTAATCAGTACTTTTATACAGCAGAAGCGTTGAAGTTCTCCCAATGTTGTGTTATTTGGCTCACAAGTGAAACCCCAAGGCCCGTTTGCACTGGTTACCGATATTTACTGCAGCGTGCTAACAGCTCATTTCGTGTTTGATCTACCTTGGAAAGACCATTTTCACAAGACACGTGACCCCATCAAAGAGACATGCATTTCAGCTCTTTAAAAGCCTAATTTAGAGTCGCTCCAATTCCGTATTTATATTTTGTGTGAATTCCTACTGACAATTTGGGCAATTTCAATCCTTAGTTTGACTGTTCACGTGGAGCTGTGTTACGTATCTGACGAATCTAGTCATTTGCAACAAGTAGTAATTATTTGCGTGCAACCATCTGGCGAATCAAACATGATCAAAAGATACCAGACATAGTGAGACTTAGCTCGTTTCTAGACTTCGAGTTTATACTTAACTTTGTCGCACTTATTTTAGAGATGTGAGCTTACGCATTCTGAATTCGATTACACCTGGTAGATTACAGAGAATAGGTGATCAAATATCGAGATGTTTGAAAATTTTAATTTGCCAATATGGTTCCTTGTAAACTTCCAGGACTATGTGCACTACCAAAACGCGCAGTTGAATAACCATATCAAAAAACCCCGGTGTCAAATAAATGTTAAGTGTTAACGCACTTCTTCGAAATTACACAATATATGACCAGCTGCTTTCGAGCCAGCGTTGTTTCAAGTCACTCTGTCATTCTGGGACCGAAAATGTCTTCTAGAAAATTACCAGTTCCGGATCAAATGTTTATAGGCCTGACTCGAATGAGAAAAACGCCATGCCTGTATGTTTCGTCACAACAGGGCTATTTTAACAAGGCTGTTGCCTGTATCTCGTATTGTTCGACAGGGTGAATACACACCACCTCCAAGATGCTTTACCAAAGCCATAATTGGGGCAAGGTATGTTGACATCTAGAAAAGTGTACAGTCGGCTAAGCACGGAGCCCAGTTCACAGATTCTTAGGTCGACTGAGATCGGGTCACGACTGCACGATTCGCTTGGCGCTCATGCGAAACCCTACTCTCACAAAGGGACATCTGGGGTGTTTCATTTTGCCCGAAAACAGGAGAGCTTTTGCAGTCGGCGCACACTGCTCCCACTCCTAACACAATGTTTCCTCCGTATCGGGTGCTTGATCTTACAAATTGAAGTGGCCTGGGTTTCTTTGGGACCGCTATAACTCCTGTCTTATTCACACATTATCCATTGTATTTTCTTTGCCAATCTTAAATGTATTTCCATGGGATCGGTTTGCTGGGACACCCAGTTTTGCGTGCCCACACTTATGAGGTCAGAGAGCTTTCTCAACTGACATGCATTCGACTAAGAAATTGTGTCAGCTTATCCTGGCATTCTTCCACAAATTGTCCCAGTAGCTTTTGATGACGTGAAAACCTAGTAGAAACTCCATAGTCGCTTTTGTATTTCGTCAAAGTGCTAACCCAGCTCTTGTGATGACATGTTATTTCCATCCGTAAGTGTAGCCCACGCGAGTCAGGCCTGTTCTTTGTCCTCCCGTATCCTCCCGCTTTCCTCAAGCCACGTCTATGGGCCTGCGGTTCAGCCCTGACCCTCCCTCCTACGGCCATCCCATTTCCACACTAACCCGCCACCTACGCCCTAGCCACTCTACCTTTGTATACGGTGGTCTTAAATATATCAGGTTCCTTCTACCAGTTCTCTTTCACATATCTCGTGTTCAACCCTGGCGGTGTGGCTATCTTTGAGGAGCATCTGATAGTAACCTACCCTTTTAGGTCCCCGCTCGGTAGACACGTTACACTAAGCCATTGAAGACTGCTTCTTCTTGCTCGTGTCCATAAACTCAAATAACTGCATTCGATAATGAATAACTGTCCCTGCATATTGGCATGTTTTTAGACACACTTACGGGACCTGAAGAGAATAACCAATTGCAACTTTTATTCGGCTGAAAAAAAGACATCGAAAGTATAATACGGGTAAAACGACAGTCTCCTAATCAAATATGCGTCTGATTCCCATGTATGCGAGACCTAAGGAAGGAGATAAGAGTTTTTAGACACTTTGTGAAAATTTTACACTTGTGTCAAATTTACGCTCCACACAGAGTGGTGGGACCTCGAAGTAGGACTGGCGCCTCCTAACCGAGAACTGCTAACAGGGCCACAGTGTGGTTTATGTGAGCATTCCTTCGAGTTTACCAACTGCCTGACCTCCAGCTAGGGTGGTATGCCGACCGTAAGTTTAGTCACACTCATGCGTTGGTAATTCTTACAATGACTAGTTTAGTTGATGTTAGTGGTCTGAATGTACGACATTAGTAATCTTCTGAAACGCTCACTGATCAGTTATTTGCTTACGCACGTGGACCAGGTAAGTTGTGTTTGAAAGACCCTGTTCGACTTCACTGCCTCTAATTGGAAGTAAGCAATGTCTCAGACCATTATTTATGACGATAATAATGATCCAAAAGCGGACAACCATTTGGCAAAGGCTTAATTTGTGAAGAAAGTTCAAAAAACGATGCTAGAGCGAAGTACTAATGCGAACTCATCCTGGCACGTGTTGATTCCGCTAAGGTGCCTTACTGTACCAAAACCCATTCTCCTCATCTGTGCTTCCACCAGTTTTGAAAAGCTGGCACGGTAGGAAAATACACATTTGGCGTTATTATAACTTGCGTGTTGGAATGCTGCTTTATTTAGCCATTAAGACGTCTGCTTAAACAGACGCATTTGATTGTTTTGTTCGATTTTCTGCTACCTCGCATTGCCGAACACTACAGCTCTGTGGAATATTCAATGACACCCAACTCCTTAAAACTTGCATAGTCATTTCGCGAGTTTCGATAGACAAGGCGATACGGTAAGTTAAGTTCAACTCGGATGCTTGCGCACTTCTAACGAAAACAAATTCCTGTGGGGTAAGGCATTGCCACTGTTACTCTTCGCACTTTTAAGCGCACACTCACATTTTGCAGTGAACAAAACTGGCGTAACAATTAGGTTCCCCACTCGTGTTCACAACTACCACTGTGTCGTCTGTTTCTTGAAAACAGTGTCAGCAGCAGAAACCAATGGCGACTTACGAGAATCAGGTGAAAGACGTA